GTGGCCCGGCAGGAGAGAGCCAGTACCTGGCCGCGTGCCGGGCTTGTGGCGTGACCCCAGTCTCCGGCCTCCTGCGGCGCGCACTGGACTCTGCGCTCAGCCTGCGGCACCGTGGCCTGGGCCTGCGGGTGAGGGACGACAGCACCTTCACCCTGTGTGAGGGACACCTGCCTTGGGGCTCTAGGGTGTCAGAGGGGCTGCAAACCCTGTCAGCCAGCTGGGGCTGTCCCCTCTGTCACCCTTAGCTGCGGTCCCTATCCAACACCAGAAAACAGTGCAAACACCCCAACCCGAGGGACTGTCGGTTTTGTCTTTCCCACTAACAAAAATGTTGTAACTCCTCTGGATATCAGAGCAACCCAAGTCTTACGTCAAGTACATGCGGAGGACCCTTTTCTGCCTGCCTTGCTGGTGGTTCAGATACCGGTTAGGGGCCAGCGTTATGCCACACGAGGTTTGGTGTTTGGCGAGCGGTGGGGATTTGTCAACAGGTTGTTCTGCAGGGCTCAGGAATGGGAGTCATCCCTCCCCCAGATGCGGGAGGGGAGGTGGAAGGATGGAATGTGCAGGTGTGTCATCACTTCTCCCTTGGGTTGAGAATTTTCCTGAGAGTTTGTTGTCTCTTTTATGGAAGGAGAAATTAACTCTTTAATAACTAAACAAAATGAAATATCTTAAACTGTATTCAGTGTTTGCTTTTCCAGCCTAGCTTTAAATCGTTTTGGAAGGGGAATTTTTTTGTACATTTCTACTGATGGCTTTGTGAAAACCCCCTGTGCCCTGCCAGACTACAGGGAGTTGAAACAGAAACATTCATAAGAGCTTTGTGAACCCAGTGAAACTGTAAATGACCCGTTCTGGGTTTTTTTTGTTGCAGGGTGCCAAGGCTTTAGCTCTTTCTTTGATGGTTGATACCTCTATCCTCACATTAGACCTGAGTGACAACTGGCTGCAAGGAGAAGGGGCAGCTGCAATTGCAGAGATGCTGAAAGAAAACTGCTACATTTCAGGTTTGTATTCTCCCATCTGCTGTTCTCTGGTAGACTGTTGCTTTAGAGGAGGAAGTTGTGCTGGCTTGTTTGTGGATTTAACCAGTCCTGCTGTCATAGTGGCTCTGTGTGTGAAAAGTGTAGCAGAACTGGGGTGCTGTTTGAATGGTGAGTGTTTAAAACTGTGCTGCTTCATCACCTTTCTTGACCAGTTTTCATAGCATTTACTTTTGTGAAGTGAAGATGCCATTAACTGGAGTCAGTCCAGTGCTGTTATTCCTGTGAAGCTGCTGGAAAGCCAGGAGAAAGAGCAAGTTTCTGCTGTGTGGATCAGAAACATCGACCTGAAACTTACACTATTCATAGGATGTGGTTAATAATGGCTAAGGCTTTTTAAGTTTAATTTGCACAATTGGCACCTAAGAAAATGGAGCTTCTAAGTAAGGACAGGTGGAAGAGAAGCCCATCTAGAGTGAATCTGCAAGCCTCTCTTCTAGCAGCAGCACGTTTGCTCTTCCCAGGGACATTTCACATGTCTAATACCTCCGTAGTATTAGACTACAGATACAGGGAGAAGAAGAAGAGCAGCGCCTCCTGAGTTTAAGTCTCAGTGAGGCAGTGTTGTGTCTAGAGATCACGGGTTTAGTCCCCACTTTTCCAGGGTCGATATTCCTGCCTTTCATAATTTAAGTAGCAACTGCCAGTTACATGTGGACAGGTTATCTGGGTTGTGGGTTACATGTGGCAGGGTCCTGTGCTGGCTCCGCAGAACTGAGTTGCAGCAAAGGCAGTTCGGTGGGATACAGCTGGTTGTGCCAGCACGTACTCAGAAGCACTAACAAGCCCTGCCAAATCTGAGGTTGTTACGTGCAGAGACTGTCTACAAGTCCCTGTGCTGTGCTTCTGTGTGAGCACAGGGCACAGACCCAGGATGGGTCTGCATGGAGCCCCTGTCATGTGTCTGTGTCACATTTTCTAGCACTTGCATTAACCTCCTGTTTCAGTGTCTGAATCTGCAGGCTAGGATACAGCCAGAACTTTGCTGTAAGTCATGCTGGTTGCTGCACTGAAGGATGTATTTTATCCACAAAGAAAAAGGTCAGTTTAGACAGCGAAGAATACAACTCTCTTATAACTAAGGCAACCCATAGGATTTGCTGGGAAGTCATCATGGATGAAGGGGACGGGTTCAGTGCTGTGAAACCCCCATTAACATAGGATTTCCTTACTTTTGTTCCCTAGTGGTTGGATTTAGAGGTTTAGGGTTCTGTTACTTCTGTGCTAGGAAAATTCATTCTCTGTGTAGGTGGACAGAGAAGTTCATGCTTTCGTATTTGGGTCTCAGTGTCTGTCTTCACATCCATTCCTGTTTTACATTTAGCTTTGCTGTCTCTCCCTGCCTACACTCTTTTTTTCAAGCCACGATGAGGAACCAAGAAACCCGCTATAACTTAGCTGAGTGTAGGTTGTGCCTGGAGTGGGAAGCACAGATGTACAAGGAGCATTTTTGTCTCATGTCCCATATTCATGTGACAAAATGTGAATGAGCCTATATCGGGGACAGGTTGTGAAACCAAATTTAAGTTCTGTTGTTCCTACTAAAATACTGTGTTAGACCAGGTTTATCATTCTTACTTTCCAAGTCCGGCACTACTTCTGCTATTGCAGCATAGAGGTCAGGTGCTGATATGATTTGATGATCTGATAATGTTTTTTCTTTCCCCAGCTGTTGATTTATCTGACAACAAATTAGGCGTTGAAGGAGCTAAGGCCTTGTCCGCTATGCTTCTAGAAAATACTACAATTGTGTCCCTCCAGTTCTCAGGAAATGAATTTGATGATCATGCAGCAAAGTATTTAGCAGATGCCATCACAGCAAACAGCAAACTGGAAATTCTGGATCTGAGTTACATCATGTTTGATGACAAAGCAGGTAAAGTGCTGGCTCTGCACCTTGCACAGAGAGGGGTGCTGTGGCATTTAGCAGTGCAGCTTAATGAGTTGCTTGCCTGCCTCAGACCTTTGGGGAGCAGGGTTGGATAGTATTTTCAGTTTCTTGGAAAGTATTTTTGGCTCTTTGTAGGCAAAACCAGTGTCAAGCTATCATCATTCATTCATTTTCATTCTCTGCCTTTTCTTAACAGCATTGCAAGCTTTACCTCTTCTGTTTCTTTCCCCTGTTCTTCCTAGTTCCCAAGTTCTGATGGTCTTCCTTTCACTGAACTGTCATTTGCTTTTTTTCTCAATCGTTATTTCAGCTTTCACAGGTGTGTAAAATGCTTAATAAGAGCAGAGAAAAACCAGCAGAATGGAGCTTGCCAGCAGTCCTTCTGTCTAGCTCCCTGTCACCGAGAGGTGATTGCAAGTGCCAAGCGGAGGGTGTGAGAGTGGAACAAGCAGGCAGTTGTGCTTCCCTGATACTTTGCCACCCTTGACAGCTTGTGGTTTGGAGACTTCCTTTGCTAATGACTTTGGCTATTGCTTTTCCATGTTCTTGTTGGTCTTGACCTTGTTAATGCATGTTGCTTTTTCTTTGGCTCTTGATTTTTAAGCACACTGTTATTTAATTGTTACATCCTTGCACTCACAGTGCTCCTGTGATGCTGTGTGATGTGATGAAACCTAGTTATTGCTCTCTGGGCCTTAGTCTGTACTGGTTTCACTGGGTGCACTTCTGCTGGGCTGAACTCCCCCATCCTTTCTTCTTGACTTCTGCAGAACACTCCTCATGATGTCATTGCTAATCGCTGACTTTTCAACCTTTATGCTTATCTCCTTTTTGCACCTTCCTGACACATGCTTCATCTTCTCCATCTATGGCTGTCCTTGGGCAGCCCCACCCATGTGTTCTGCTACTATCTCCAGGCCTAAGATTCACAAATCTTCTCCCTTCTCCTGGTCTCACCCTACACTGTGCTCCAAATCCCTCTACTTCCAACACTGTTGGTGATGGGTACACACTCAAAAAGGGAGATACTGAATTTTTCCTCTCCCATGCCATGTCCCATGCTGTCTGTCTGATCCACATTCTCCCATGGTTGTGTCTTTCATGAAAAAATCCACCATCTTCTCTCCATCCACTGCTTTAGAACCCTTAATCATCACACATCTCACCTGCTATAACCTCCTTCTTGAAGATCCTCCATGTCTTCAGTGGGCTTCTCTGGCTCACAGGAGAGGAGAGGAAACAACGATAATCCTTATCTCTTCTGGCTACCAGGAACACACCAGCCATTCACTTGGTTCCTTCCCAGATCTGTTCCAATTTTTTTCCTCATTTTTACTTTTGAGGGCTGCAATGGCTGTTTTTCTCTCCACCCCTGTCCTGCTCACCTCCTGCTGCCTTTACAGTCAAACAGCTCTTCCCAGTCTTCTGGTCTTCAAGCATGGTGATGGCTTCCTTTTATTCTATGCTGGTTGACAACCTCATGTCCTTCCGGCCCCACTGAAAGTTCGTAGAACACTTGCTGAGGGAACCTATTCAGATTTTATAATGGCACCGGAGCTCTGGGAGGGGTTAAAGAGAGAGCAGAGCTAGCTTCTTTGCCAGTCTAACAGAGAAGCGGGCTTCAACTGGCTGGAGGCCAGAGGTGGGGAAGGGTGAGAGACTGTGGGAAGGTACCTGGTTGCTTGGTGTCAGCTTTCAGACTTGAATCAGGATGGAGAATGAGCCTGTGCAGTCAGATCTCCACGCATGAGCAGCAGACCCTAGCTTTGTGATATGGTGACTGGATTTTCTCTCCCTCTTTGCTACATGGGCAACCTGTGGTCAGAGAACATATATGCTTTATTGTCTGGCAGCTTCTGGTAAGTGAGGTATAAAAGAAAATAATATGTTGTAGTTTTAATTGCCTGCCTAGAGGTAATACAGACAGTTGCAGAGAAACTTAAACTAATACTTAAACTAACCCGAGCTTCTTTTTAGCTCTTAAACCTAATCGTTTTAACTCTTAAACTGTTTGGCTTCATGTATTTTTTCTTAGGTGAAATTCTTGGAACAGCACTAGCAGAAAACTTTAGATTAAAGGAACTTAAAATCAGCTGGAACCATTTCCATAGCCAGGGGGCAGCTGCCTTCGCCAAAGGCTTAGGGGTAGGAAAAGTTTTCACTCCTGTTTTTAAATTCTGAGAACTCACATGAAGCTTTATCTGTTTAAACGAGTGTGAATGCCATGGTGTGCTGTTTGCCTTGTGCCCTTGCCTGTCCAATGGCCATCTATGATCTGGGATCATACAGACCTTGGAACTAAGACAGTAAAATCATCCATTGTCTATTGACATATTGCATATGTTTTCATTTCTCTATTTCTAATTCTTTCCCTTTTAGAGTCAAAATTACTGTAATGAATGTTTTTAATTGTTTCATTTTACTTCTGATTCATAAATCAATACAGAAATTGTTTTGTATTCCATATACAGTTTTTACTGCACTGAAAGAAAATAGTTTCTCATTAAAATAAGAAACAGTTCTTCCAGCCTAATAGGCTGAAAGGGACCACTAAAGTAATTTAATTTCACCTCTTGTACAGTGCAAATCACATGTGCCATCCTAGCACTAGTGCAACAAGCCTCCAACTGCTTTTTGGAGAGTAGAAAGGATGGTAGTCCGTAGAAAGGATATTTCTCCAAGGTTGTATCAACTGATGGGGAGATTTTCAGTTGTGTGTTTATGTCACATCACAGGCAAACACGTTCCTCAAAGTGCTGGATGTTTCCTACAGTGGCTTTGACAACAGCGGAGCAGCTGCCTTGGGGGAGGCTCTTAAAGCCAACAATGTGCTGGAAAAGCTCAATGTTAGGTGAGTCAGACTCTGGTCCTGCTGCACATTTTCTCTAATTTTGCAGTGGTGGGCAAAGCCCGCAGCAGCCATTTGGATCTCCTACCTGCAGAGAGTGGTAGGTGCATAAGGCAGGGAGAGTGTTACAAAATACTTGTGCTGCTGGTCTCATCCCAAATCCCAGTTCCTCTCCTTAAACTTGGGGTCACTGCCAAGGGGCTGTGGGATGTGTTACAGGATGCAGGGGAAGAGCATTTTTGGGATTGCACAAGGCCTGTTAGGGGATGTTTAGGGGAGGAACCAAGGGCGAGGGAAGGGATCCAGGTGCTCTGGGGAGTAACGAGCATGGGAAAAGAGAGGGACAAGGTGTGAATATTGAGTGTTTCTGTCTGTGTTGATCTGTGTGGCCAGCTGTGTGCATTTGTTGCATACATTTGTGCCTGTGCCTATTGGAAATACATGGTCAGCCTCACTACTGGGGGCATGGGGCCTCACCTCTATCAGCCTGTGGGATTTGGCAGCTCCTCACCTCTTCCAGCCTCCCAAATGCAGTTGCTTAGTTGGAAGGAGCTGCTCTAAATTCTGTGTGGATATAATCTGTTTCCAGTTCTGGGTGAAGCAGGAGGTTGCATATCCTTTGCCTGAGCGATATGGATGTGGAAAACCTGCAGCTCAGTGTCTGAAGCATGCCTTTTATCTGTTTTTAGCAACAACCGTATTTTGGTGGAAGGAGCTCTGCACATTGCAGCTGGCCTGAAAGAAAACAAGACTCTGAACAGACTTAATGTGAGCAACTTTCCTAGGAAGGTATTGGAGCCTCTTATGCATGTTTAAATATCACTGATGCATGTATGTCCTGGATTGGAACCCCTTAGAACAAATCCACAGCAAAATCAGGGAGCTGCTTGCCTCAACCTGCCTCCTCCCAGGCTTCCCTGGTTGCAGTATGCTCTCATTAAGACAGAGGACTTGTATCCAGCAGTTTTGTCGGTGAACAGAGATTTCTGTGAACCTGCCCACTGTGAACTACAGCCTGTCCTGCTGTGTCTTGCAGTATGGGTAGCACCCTATTTCTGCAGCAGTAGTGTCCAGCTCGGCACGGCAGGCAGCACTGGGATGGCTGGCTGAGAGCCCTTGGCCCACTGTTACTGGCACTTGAAGTAAATCACGCTGGTATCTCACCCACTGGGGATGGCTGGTGCCGTCAAGGATCATACAAAACACCCCATGTCACATACCCTCCTTGTCATGGTTTACCCCCAGCCAGCAACTAAGCACCACGCAGCCGCTCGCTCACTCCCCCTACTGCAATGGGATGGGGGAGAGAATTGGAGGAGTAAGAGTGAGAAACACTCCTGGGTTGAGATAAGAACAGTTTAACAATTGAAATAAAGTAAAATAGTAATGATAATAATAACAATATAATAATGATGATAATAATAATAACAATATACAAAGCAAGTGATGCACAATGCAATTGCTCACCACCCAGTTTATATACTGAGCATGACATCATATGGTATGGAATAGCCCTTTGATCAGTTTGGATCAACTATTCTGGCTGTGCCCCCTCCCAGTTTCTTGTGTACCTGGCAGAGCATGGGAAGCTGAAAAGTCCTTGACTAGCATAAGCAGTACTTAGCAACAACTGAAACATCAGTGTGTTATCAACATTCTTCTCCTACTAAATCCAAAACACAGCACTATGCCTGCTACTAGGAAGAAAATTAACTCTATCCCAGCCGAAACCAGGACACTCCTGCTGTTTCTTTTCTGACTGCAGATGACCAGAAATCCCATGCAGAGTGAAGGCTGCTGTGGGGTCCTCAAAGCTCTACAGGCAAATTCTGGCACTGGCATAGAGATCCTGGACTTGCCAGTAAGTGTTATACCAGGAAGAAGGGGGAAGGGAGGGAAGAGGTTGAATTCGTGCTGTATGAATAACAATGGGCTGCCAGAGGGATTCTGGCTCTGGCATTGTTGCTGCCCAGTGAGGACTGTGTATGGAGGGAATGGCTGCTGACTTCAAAACATGGACATGTCTGTATGTGCCCAGGCCCCACTTTGTGTGCTTGCAGCAGCATCAAGGTGCATGAATGCACTGAGCTGGGCATTGCTCAGGCTTCGGGTGCCATCAGGGTGTGGAGGAAGCAGGACTCAGCTCTCGGTGCAAAGGTGCCAAGCACTGGGAGCAATCTGGCCACCTGTGAATTCAGAAATTCCCCAGGAAGCTTGAGCTCTCTGCTCTGACAATGCATATCGTTTTGGAAAGATTTCTGTCCCATTTCCAATGAAGCTAAATGGCTGTTACATGGCACAAGAACTTCCGCTTGAACATCTTGTTTAATATCTTTATCAACGATCTGGATGAAGGGATT